AACCCAGAAGACAGAAATCTTCATACTCATCGCCCTGATGACGGAGGCAGTATGACCTCTGAAACGTTGGTTAACATCGACCAGACTACACAGCGCAATAACCCAGAAGACAGAAATCTTCATACTCACCGCTGTGAGAACCTCAAGTCTTACATGACAATAGTAGTTTCCCATTCAGCAGTAATATATGCATTATATTTATTATAGTTAACTCTGGTAATGTAAGAGACCAACAAGCTGACCACCCTGACATATATGTATCTAATTACGCAGAAGGAATGTGGCACTTACCAGTGGCGCTAAAAGACAGCGTTAGATACCAAATAAATTAGTGAAAGATTCGATGCTGATGTCTGCATCTGGTTTTGGGCCCCTTGTCAACTGTACATTTTACATAAAATTCATTATTCTTTCCATGCGTTCAAATATGGGTGTAAAACTTTGGAAATGTGACACTTAAAATATTCCACCACTTTTGGCAAACTGATTGTTATTACTGGACATTGATTTAGTGCCATTCATAATGATCATAGGTGTAGCTTGGTATGTACATTTTTGTAATCACCACAGTCTATAGGCATGCGTGGTCTCTTGACATTTACTGTGGGTGCTTGTAGGAATGGCTGTGGTGACTTTGATTGTGGTCTATTGCGTTAACAGCAAAGCACAATGATTCCTTTTCAATGTGCGGATTAAATTGTTCTGTGAACAGATTCGTGATGGCCACAATGAGAATGCTACGCTTCTAGGAAAGTACTGTGGTGGACAGGACCAGTTTCCTAACCCGTGCTTCATGTCGCAATACAACTTCCTTTGGCTCAAGTTCAAGACAGATGGCTCGATATCAAACCGGGGATTCTATGCCAACTACTCATCCATCAGTGTTGGTGAGTTGAAGATCCATTTCTGCTGTTTTGTTCAGGATTCTTTTGTAGAGGAAACTCAGGTTAAGGACGACAAGTTTATTGCAAGACAGCTTCCATGAAACATTTGTTTACTTACTTAAGATCCTTTAATATAAAAATGTTCCGGGATAGCTCAGTCAGTATAGTGATTCGCTATGGACTGGACGACCAGGGTTCGATTCCCGACGGGGGCAGAGGAGTTTTCCTCTACGCCCAGCCTCCTATCTAATGGGTACCAGGGTCCTTTCCCGGGGGTAAAGCGCTGCTGGGGCATGACACCGACCACTCATCTCCGTCTAGTGCTGAGGTTATGAATGAGTAGAAGTTATAACATTTCTCCCGCCCAAGTGCCTACATGGCGTATAGTGGGACAGCTTTACTTTTAAATTTTTTTTTACTTAAATATAAACATATTATACATTTTAATCAAGTGTTATAAACAAGATAAGGGTATGAAGATGGTCTTGTGATATCCTTAAAATTATACTAGTAAAATCTTTGTTTGTGTGGTGAATTAAGTGAGATTAAATTGTTTTAGAACTTTTATAGTTATACTTAAGCATAGAGTGGATGAGATATATAATACAGTTGTGCATGAAGTTGAAGTCAATTAGCTGATTCTGGAATGATTTGATCTCTCATAACTTAGAACAGCTAATGGTGTTTTATCTTTGTTGTTCAAAATGCTAAACAAATTTAAGAAATCTGTATCTGCAACATCCTTTGTTATTTTACGAACTGCCAACTTCTGAGAGCTGTAATACTTCAAGTTATGTACTCTGGTCTAAGCACTTCCATTTTTTCCATGATTGTGGTTGAATGTGTGGATGTGTATACTTGTTTTTGTATTTATTTTGTATATGCATGTGTGCTTGTATGTGTGCATTATGCATTTGTGTATGCATGCATGTGTGAATGTTTGCATTAAGGTGGCGACTGACTTGTAACATTTACTTGTAATGTAACATTCCCGGCGAGCATGTTACATTACACCACAACTGGTGAGGCGTATCGAATGCTCGTTTTGAACGCTCGGCCCGACTGTGCTCATGTGTGCTCCATTCATTTCATTCGATATGTCGGACGTGGAGGTTGTGTTATCTTTGTTCCATTTAATACGCTACTGTTATCTAAAGAACTCGTGAATGCCCGTTACGACGCCGCTCGACTGACTGATTGACTTGTAATGTAACACTCAAAGGGATTCGCGAAAAAACCGACAACACGATGGAGCACCCGCGAGCGTGAGCGGCTCACATAGAGCGGCTCCGTTCGCTGTCTTCACTTGTGTAATGCTCGATTTGTAACACGTTACATTACAGGCAAATGTTACAAGTCAGTCGCCACCTTTATGCCTCCGTCATCGCCCTGATGACGGAGGCAGTATGACCTCTGAAACGTTGGTTAACATCGACCAGACTACACAGCGCAATAACCCAGAAGACAGAAATCTTCATGTATGTGTGTGTCTGTGTCTGTGCTTGAGTGTGAGATTATGTGCGAGAGAGGGCCACTAAGACTGAATTTATGAATTTATGTCATATCTTATATCTGTCATGTTTGGGAGATGTATCACAGACTAAATAATTGAATAATTGATTTTATCATTTATCATGATTTTTTATCTTACAACCAACTTTGGTTACCTATCACATCATTCCCTGATAATGGAGACAAGAGTGAGTCTTTGAAACATTGGACTTCTGTTACGAATTTATGTGGCTCATCACCCGAGAGGATTTTGTCACTTTTCTAGATATATTTACTTACATTTTCATGCCTATTTTGGGGAAATATATTTTTAAAAAGGCCATAAGTCCTCTTGCAGTTTTAATCCTTAAATTATTCTATTATTAGCAAAGTTTTATATATGCATTTTTCTTATAGTTATTAAACTTTATCGTCTGCATGTCACACTGTTTAGTGCACTGAAGCTGTGTACAGAATTCTGTTATGCTTACATCTGTGATTCATTTATCAATATTTTCCCTGCGGTGGTTACTTTTAATGGAAAATTTTCAAGTAGTCGTCATGTGGTATATAAGAACCAACGATTCTTACTGTCATTAACGTCAGTCAGTCACATCACTTTTACTTGAATAAATACTTTATGCATTTTTTCATATGGCCAAATGAATTCTTTTAGCTTATCTGTGATTGGCAGTTAACGAAGTAATTTTTGAAATGGATGTTACCAGATGGTTTTTGATAATGTCACAGTCTTATAATAGCAGTTGTTTCAGACCAGCATGAATCCTGCTGGACTGTACAGACCAGAAATAATTTTTGTACATTTCATAAACTTCCATTTTCACTGTACAGAACTTCAGGACAGTGCAGTAATATTTTTTACATCTAACATTTAACATGGGTGCCGTGTTAGTTTCACTGAAGGTGGAATATTAGGAGGTAACAAGCATGGAATTTCCCTCTCTCGAGGCATGATGCTCACAGAAATGTGTCATTTAGTGTACAGTATTGATGTCTGCAGTACTTTTGGACTCATGTGCATGCCACTTGTGTTTCTTGTAGATGTATTGTAGGACAAATATTATGTTGCTTTGATTCATCATAAATATCAGTTCACTAGGAAGTGGAGAGTTGTATCAGGGTCGGAGGAAGAGCAGGCAAGGGACAGTGGGCTACTCGGAGTCAAGGAGTGAAGGGAAACTTATCTGGGCCAATAGGGCGTCTTCAAACAAGGGACCGAGGGGGTTGAGAATAAAATACAGAATAATTCGGCCCTTTTCAGGGCCATGTTGGTGATGGCAGTGACAAAAATATTTAGGCTAGGGGAATGTCAGGAACCTAAAGCGAAGCAAGACAAAACAGCGAGTAGGAAAGGAGGATATTATATATAAAAAAGGGGGGTGTTTGGTGGGACTGTACATCAATTATTTATAGATTTCAAAAAAGCCTATGACTCTGTGAAGAGAGAAGTGTTATATAATATTCTTATTGAATTTGGTATACCAAAGAAGCTAGTGAGTCTAATAAAAATGTGCTTAAATGAAACCTGTAGCAAAATTCGAGTAGGTAAATATGTATCTGAGACATTCCTC